TCTAAAGGCAAAGTGTTTCACAAGAGTGATAAAAAGAAGAGACACAGACAGTTAACTGAAGATCTCTGTTCGTTGTAGCAGATTATCGGAAGAAATAAGCAAAAAATTAAAATGAATCAAAAATAAGAGCATGACTACGAAAAACAATGTTATATAAATCAGTGCTACTGACTGATCTGAACCACCATTTGCAGTAGTGGTTTCTACATCTCAGAAAGGTATCAGAAAACTAGAGGGAGTTAGAGAAAAGTCACAAAAGTGATGGAAGTTCTTTAACAACAACAACAACAACAACACTGTTTTGTGGAAATAGGTCAGAAAAACTGGAATTGTTTTAGAGGAAAATAAAAAGAGGCATGAGAAAAATATATGAAACAATTACTAGAAGTAAACCAGAATTTCTGTCTTCCTCAACATAGTTACATGCAATTAAACTTCAAGACAGAATATTTAACAGAAGTGATGCACATCAGTTTTCCCACAGTTTATATTTTTGTTGTAGAGCTTGTTCTTTGAAAACACTGATAAAAAAAAAAAAAAAAAAAAAAGCATTGAGTTAAATTAGTTAAGAATATTGCAGGTAAACTGAAATTTATTTGGAGACTTAAATGTATCTGTAATCTGTAGATGTAGCAGTGACTGGTCTATTATAGACTTTATGAAGCCAAATCCTCAAAATCCTCAAAAATATCCCTGTGCAGTTTTCTGCACTTCCCTTGGAAGTGTTCAGGGGTCACTGTCTGAGGCATGGATGCTGCACACGCCTCAGATGTGCTTCAGACCCCTTTGGTCCATGCTCCTATTGTCAGTATTTCATTAATTTAACTGTTTCTAGCCCAATAACTGGGAGTGAATTGTAATATCAAAATATTTAAACTAGCAGAATTTCAAAGTTTTTGTAAAAATCTTCATGGAGGAAGCCATAGAAAGAATGAAAATACTGAAGCAAACAAACAAATAGTTGACATTTTCAATTTAAAAATTGTCAGTCAAACAAAGGTTTGTTTGAAATTTGGAAGGGGACATTATTTCCTCATTAAAAATCAACTTTTCAAAGGAAAAACAATGCTTTCTCTGATTTTTTTTTTTTTTCAAATTTTAAATAGAAGCATTTAACCACCCCTACCCATCAGTTGTGCTATATATTCTTGAGCACCATCTACTGGTGCTGCATTATTAATTAACTATTTATGAAAATATAAAGCACTTTAATAAAATACCAATCTTATTGTAATTCTCTTGCTCTTCATAAAGAAATTTAAAATTGATAACACAGAATATAACCACATCTGGCCTTCCATGTCTGAGCTAAGTAAGATGTGTGGAACAGATCAGTGCCCTGATCACACACTGGTGAGCTAAGAGGGTTCATAAATACAGCGCTTGACTCTTACCTGTTACTTGACTCTATAGCCACACTTGTTTCCATTTTTGTGCATAATAAGATATCTAAGTAACTCTCTACATCTAGCTGTAGTTAATTAAGCATATGACAATAATATGATAATAGAGAACGATAATAGAGAATTAAACTACAAAATTAAGGGAATTTAGATAAATTATTTGTTGAAAAACCTTCAGTCAGTTCAATGTTGGAGATAAACTATATTTTATGTGCTCATAGAACTGCAGGCTGCAAGGGTGACCTTGACTTGGAAAGAGTTCCCCTTAAGCTGACAGGTGGTTAAGTTAGAGAACAGTCCATTTTCCACTTGCTTTAAGCTGTGGCTTCCCTTATACAATTTGCACCAAAAATCTCTATGAATTATAATTACAGTTATAATTTTGTTGAATTTTGTGCTATGTTCTCTAAAACCTGAACTGAAATCACTTAGTTGCTGTGACTGAGGTACCAAAGATCTTAAACTGCTGCTGTGGGTGGGAAGAAAAAAGGGAGAGAAAGAGCGAGAAAGAGCGAGAGAGCGAGAGAGCGGGAGAGAGAAAGAGAGAGAAAGAGAGAAAGAGAGAGAGAAAGAGAGAAAGAGAAAGAGAAAGAGAAAGAGACAGAGACAGAGAGACAGAGAGAGAGAGAGAGAGAGAGAGAGAGAGAAGAAGAAAGAGAAAGAAAGAAAGAAAGAAAGAAAGAAAGAAAGAAAGAAAGAAAGAAAGAAAGAAAGAAAGAAAGAGAGAAAGAAAGAAAAAGTTAAACAAACCCTTTAATTTATTCCATCCAGCATATTACATTTGGTAAGCAGCTTTTTTTTTTTCCGCCAATACAGAAATTACTTAAAAATATTACTCTCCACCCTCGTTCCTAGTTTGGATTGAGCCCAACCTTTCTGAAACAATCACATCCAGTCTAGAAAGCAGCACTATAAATTTAGTGTTCACTATGTTGTGCCTATCCCCACCACACTACTACTGAGTGACATAACACTTCTTTTAGTGCCTTGATACTTTCTTTGTAGTACAGATGGCGCCACATGTCCCATGCAGTTCTGACAGTACTGCTGTGAAATAGCATGGGATTGCATTAATACCTAATTTCTAGGTTTTAACAGAGATTCAGAACCTGGATCTGCTCAATATTTCTGGATGATGTGTATATATTCACTTTACATCTGCCCTATGCTAAATGTACATATAAAACAGCACCTTTCCAAACAAAAATTAGCTGCCTGTCAGTTTAAACAAATATAGTGTCATTTCTATTTATTTATATTTTATAGACATATACTTTTCCTTGTAGTGTATCAATATTCTGGATTTTTGATATTTCAAATGCAGCTGTGTGACACCTGGCAAACAAACTTTCTGAAGTTGGCCTCAGTTCAAGGAGGCAGGCACATACAAGTGGACCATCAATATTTCAGTATTTCACAAATGGCATAGCTTATTTTAGAATTAGCTCCAGCAATTAAAAACTACACTGTTCAAGTCTCATGGCAACAAATCTTGAAAAGAAATCTGCAGAGTGCTCTGTGCCTCCATCTCTCTGTTCTTCGGCTCACAGAGTTAACTTAACTGTGACTTGTGCAACTCCCAGCCTTTCCCTTGTTTGCAGACGATTTTTGTCTTCACAAAAATGAAAGTGGAAGTTAACCACAGGGTTGGGATACCTAGTAAGTTGTTTAATACAATAATTTACCACACACTGTGTACAAATTTTCATTTCCACTTGCAAATAACAAACTACAAGTTGTCAATGCTATAGGAAATGGGTGAAAGAGTTCACCCAGGGTGGCTTTTTCCTATGACTTACCGCCATGTTCTTCTTTTACAGTGAAGGGAGTAAAAAGGTATTTAAATACTGCCTTGTATTTACACCTTTGATTTATTCTGCTCATAGCAACTTGTCAATGAACTGAACTACTTTTGAAGTATTTCAAGCAACACGATGATCACTGAGAGATCATACAGAGTATCACTGAACGTGAGAGAGTATGATCATCATTTGAGCCATAAATGGTTCAGTTTTCATTGCATCATATTTGCTGGGCATAGATCATGCACATTTCTCACAGTTTCCTTGTACTGAGTAGATGTTTTTTGTTTTACTTTGACAACAAGGACATGAACTCTTTATGTTTGTAAAAGCTAGCAAGGATGTGGTTTACAGCTTGTACCTATGGAAAACATAGTAAAAAGCTATAACTGTCCTTTCATTTACTTTGGCCAGAAGTGGTTTGTTTGTGACCAGCAATACCTCTGATCAGAATTTGTGCAGCATGTAATTGTGATCATAAAAGCTCTGTATTACTGGAATTCAAATCTTTACGGGGCTGGGATGGCAAAAAAACTCTCAGCTTTGAGGAACGGATGGTTTGGACGCTGCCCAGAAGTTCAAAGTCTCGTTTCATCGGGGTGGGAGGGAGAGGGCCTCCAAACCAAGGCGTGCAGTGGTGTTTCTCGTGAACTTTGAGAGGGCGGGCTTGTCGCAGGGAGCCGGCCACACCGCCTCGGCAGGGCTTTGTTCTCCCTGTCGAATGGCAGCGGCGGGAGCAGGCAGCCGCCAGGCCGCGGTCTGCTCGCTGACTGACAGCAGCATTTATTAAAATGTCATCCCCTAATTTCCACACCGGATATCTGCTGTCGCGAGCGCTGCCCCGACCGCTCGGAGAGCCCGACTCGCCCTGGGGAGCGGGAGAGACGCAGCCGGAGGGGAGGGGAAAAAAAATGCATATTCAAACCTCCTCGGCTACACCCAAATAATCAGGGAAGGGGGGATGGGGGTGCACATTCACAGCGGAAAGGCACCTTCCACGGAGCTCCCCCGTCTGTCCCCTCCCACCCCAAACCTCCCCTGCCGCTATTGATGCCCTCCAGCCGCTGCCTCCTCGCAAACTCTGCTGGCAGCCCCCGCGGGGGGGTGGGGGGGGGCAGCGCCTCTCCCCCGACGGGGACCCGGACCAGGTCCCTCCTTGCTGAGGGATCCCCCGGGTCGTCCCCCCCCGCCGCCCCGTGCCCTGCCCGCGCCCCGCTAGACGGCGGCGGCCGGGGGAAGGACCGCGACCCGGCCGCAGCCTCCTCCTCTCTCCATCAGGGAACAAATACGGCGTTAATTGCAGCCTCGCTGAGAAAATTGCCATTGTTCCAGTCAAAGGCGGGCGGCACTTCGAAAGGGTTTTTCCTGGGGAGCGCCGTGGCGGTTAATCTGCAGCGCGGAGCCAAAGTGACAGCTCTCGGGGCTGCGACGGAGGGGGGAGGTTGGGGGGGGGGGTGCTTTTAAAGAAAAAACAAGAGGAAAGAGATCAAGGGCGGGCTTCCCGCCCTCCCCCCCCCCCCCCCCAACTCCTGCCATCCTTTCCCCGTTTCCCCAGCGGCGTCAGCCGAGGTCCCCAAAAAATCTCTTCCCGGCGTAGCTAGCGCCGCTCCCGGGACGCGCTGGGTGCCGAGCGGCCCTGATGTGCCAGACGCCGGGGGCCGGGAGGGGCGCCTGGCACACTCACACACACTCACACACACACACACACACTCATACTCATACCCGCGCGCACTCGCGCGGAGCGGTGCGCAGGGGCGCGCGCACGCCGCCGCCCCAGGAGAGCGAGGCGGGGGTGCGCGGGGGGGAGAAGGACGGGAGGGTTGCGCGCACGGGTACGCGCACACAGCCGGCGGCCCCCACGGAGGCTGGCTGGCTGGCTCGCACACACGCACACACAGACGCGCGCGCACACACGCGCGCACACGCAGCGCCAGAGCCGCGCTCCCGCTCCCTCCGCGCTCCCCTGCGCGGCCGGCGTTCGCACCGCTCGCTCTCCGATCAACGGCAGCCGAGGAACACCCCCCCCACACCCCGCCGCTGTCCGGCCCTTAGTGCCCGAGGGGGGAGGAGGAGGAGGGAGGCAAGAGGAATAAGTCCACCAGTACCAACAACAACAACAAAACCCACCAACAAATCTGCACTAGCGCCTGAGTCCTCCTCCTCTCAGACCGTCGCCTGCCTGGCATCGCCGCTCATCGGGCTGCTGTGCTGAGACTTTGTTTCAAGTAAAAAAAAAAAAAAAAAGAAAAAAAAAAAGAAAAAGAAAAAAAAATCCATCGCTTGCTCAGCCACTTCCATTTTTACCCCCCTGCAGTCTCGCTGGTTTGAGGTTGTGGTGCTTTTTTTTTTTTTTTTTTTTTTTTTTTTTTTTTTTTCCTTCATGTGGTTGGATTTGGTGGATCCGGAGCCAAAGCTGCTTTTTTCCCTCGGTGGGGTGTGCGTGTGGCGTGCGGGGGTTTTCTCGCCGCGTTTTTTATCTTCTGCTGCTTTTTTAATCTTGGTTTTGAACCTGAGCCGGGGAAAATGGGAAACGGTGCTTCCGACAGAAGGGGAATCTCTCCATCACTGTTGTTGGGACGTGTGCCTGTGGTGCTAGTCTTTTAGAGAAATAGCCTGACAGCTTTCGGAGTGGAAGGTAAGGGTGCCCGGGGCATTTCCATTTCCCATTTCCAGGGATTACGACTGGAGAGCTTTTAGCTTGGGATTCCGGGGAGGAGGCGGCGGAGGAGGGGGACAGGCTGTTGCTGAAGGATAGAGAGAGAGACAGCACATACAAAATGATCTCTGCATTTACTTCAGCGCTGCAGTTTAAAAGTTAGAGAAGTCCGTTTGGCGACAGGTCTGCTTCCCCGAGAGTAATTTCCAGCGAGACGAAGAAAACCTGAGGTTTGTGCACGATTGGGGTAATTTTATTGGGGGGGTGGGGTGGGGGGAGATGTTAGGTTAATAGGAAGTTAAAATAAGAGGAGTCAGTGGGTCTTCTGCTGGGGAAAAAATAAGTGGAGTGATGGCGCCGTCTATGTTCGGCTAAACTACAGTGTCACCTAGAAAATCAGTTTGGGGAATATCCAAACTAAACGCCCGTTTGCTTTTCAGCAGAAAAGGGTTCCCCCCCTTCCCTAAAGGGCAACCTTAAGCCTCTGTGCCTGTCCTTTAACTCCATCCTCCATGGAAAAGGAAGATTTTATTTAATCTGGGTGCCTAATCCTTTTGGCAAGCAGCTTCCCTCTTGTATTTAGCACTATTGCAAACTAAATGAAATGCTGCCGGCACATTCGATTTGGATGTGTGTGCGTGTGTAATACACCGAGGGAGAGGGAGATTAAGACAAAATTGTGTATCAGTAGCTTTGTATGAACAAACACATAACTAAAATGAGGGCTATCTGATTACGTTTCTTCACAGAAAACAGCCTAGCACTGCAGACGTCTTTATTTTTCTAATTTCATAGAGGATGAGAAAAGTCAGAGGCTTTTTCCTTTTTAAATTAAAAAGCAACTAAGGCCCCTTTTTGCTTTCTAGATTATAAAATTAATCCTTTTTCATGGGTGGAATTCCTAATTTAGACACTTATTGTCACATTGGCTTTCAACGCCTACACCATCCTGAATAACACTGCGCAGAACTGCAATGCCTGCAAAGTGCTTCAGAAAAGGGAAAATTGTTTCCAGAATTCCCTATAAGTTTCTATTTTTTAAAACCTTAAATGCTGTACCGACCCTATTTGGAGAAGTAGGACCATATTATTCATTGAGATGGATGCTCAGAAAGAGAAAATCTGACTGTGTGGATAGAACTGACAGCAGCTCTGCTTTTTTTTTTTTTTTTTTTTTTTTTTTAACTGCAGCTATAAAGAGGGTTAGAGTTGGTGCTGCTTTGCCCATTTCAAGATTCAGAGTTTGAATTGTAATCTAGGAGATATGAAAATCTCTTCAAGGGAGCTTAATCTGGTGATTTGCTGTGTGTTACGCAATGGGAGACAGAAGATGCCTTGCTGTTTGGTGAGGAGATGAAAAGCTAGGCAAAGACACATATCAAAACTCAGTGTCTGTGAGTGTATATCTGCCTCTGCTTATAGAGCAACAGTGGAAGAGACTGAAATCCAGAGAGTTTTGAAATTAGCTTGGCATCACTTCTGCCTACTTGCCTTTGAAAACAGAAGGTGAAAAACTACTTATTTGTAAGGGATAACTCAAAGGTTAATGCTGAAAATGTTCAATTTTTGTTTTTTGTTTTTTGTTGTTTTTTTTTTGGATAACATTACGCAGGCAAATATAACTAATGCTCACTTCATTAACCTAGGCCACTGTTAAGAGAACAGAACTCTAGAGGAGGCTGTAGCAGTTGACAGGTGCAGTAAAACAGCTTTATTTGGTGATACTTGCAGATAAAAGGTAATATATCATCATTCAAGCACACATCTGCAAAGCCCAGGAGCTAATCAGACAGTACAAGATATTCAGAGTAACAGGGTAAGCAAGAGACCCAGTACAGTGCAATAGGTGTAGAGGTCCTACTATAGCTGTGCAAGCTATATAGAGCTAATGGTTGTAGACACTAATATAGTGATCCATTTTATATATCCTAAGAGGTTGTAGCACATTTGAATTCCTATCTTAAAATGCTGGCACTTAGTAGTGGTGTCAGACCATCACTAGTTTCATCTGTCCATCTTTGTTTCTTTCTCTGATAGTCTCAACATTTTATTAATATATTAATCTTAGTACTTCCTTCCTGGGATTTATTTTTATAAAGACCTCTGTATGCCAGGTGGCCACTGTGAATGCATGTAGACATATGGAATATAATATTCCGTCTGTAACAAATACTATTTGGGCTTTTTAACATTATGGCTGTAATTCTTCACAGTTACTTCCCAGACTTAATAGAAAAATAATACATAACAACAGATGATACCGGCTTTCTTGATCTATTCTGGTGAAATTCTCCACGTGCACAATGTATGTGCACAGATATGAATAAAGCAGACTACTTATTTACTTTTTGAATAAATAAATAAATAAATTGTCCTGCTTTTAGTCCGTCGGGTAAGGCGTCTAAGTTTTTACCTAAGATGAGCAGTTCTAGTCCACGCCATGATGACTACAGCCTAGACAGGAGAGGACATTCCTATTAATAATCTAATAGATTTTTTTTTTTTTTTTAATTTGGATGTAGAAGATTGGGCTGTCGCGATGGCCACGTGATGGCGCTGTTCACACAGCAGCAAAGCGTTCCCTTGTGTCATAAAATAAAAATTACCTGCCCTTTTTTCTGAAAGGGGTTCTAACTGCAAGCTTGAAAACAGCTGGCTCGAATATTGGAAGGAGTTTGGTTTTCAATGCGTGAAGAATTCTACTTGCATTTTCATTTCATTTCATCTCCTGCAGGCCAAATGACATAGGATGAAGGCTGTTCGTAATTTGCTGATTTATATATTTTCCACCTATCTACTGGTTATGTTTGGATTTAATGCTGCCCAAGACTTCTGGTGTTCCACGCTGGTGAAGGGGGTCATTTATGGATCGTATTCTGTAAGTGAAATGTTTCCAAAAAACTTCACAAACTGCACTTGGACACTGGAAAATCCAGATCCGACCAAATATAGTATTTACCTGAAATTTTCCAAAAAGGACTTCAGCTGCTCCAACTTTTCCCTCCTGGCTTATCAGTTTGATCATTTTTCCCATGAAAAAATAAAGGATCTTTTAAAAAATAACCACTCTATAATGCAGCTCTGCGATTCCAAGAATGCTTTTGTATTTTTGCAGTATGATAAGAATTTTATTCAGATACGCCGCGTCTATCCTATCGATTTCCTAGGATTACACAAAAAGGAAGAAGACCAAAAATCCTTCTTTGAGTTTTTGGTTTTGAACAAGGTGAGCCCGAGCCAGTTTGGGTGCCATGTGTTATGCACTTGGTTGGAGAGCTGCTTGAAATCTGAGAACGGGAGAACCGAGTCCTGTGGGATCATGTATACAAAATGCACCTGCCCTCAGCATTTGGGAGAATGGGGAATAGATGACCAGTCCCTGGTGTTGCTCAATAATGTGGTGCTGCCCCTCAATGAGCAGACAGAAGGCTGCTTGACCCAGGAGCTGCAAACCACCCAGGTCTGCAACCTCACCAGAGAAGCCAAACGGCCTCCAAAAGAAGGTAGGTGCTTCTTGAGGGGGGGTGTAAGGGGGGGGGGGGGGGGGTGGTCTGTTGGGGGTGTGTTGAATCCCACACCGGTGTGTAGGTCTTGTTGCCGTCTCTCTTTGATACTCACATTCATTTGACTTGCTCTTCACTGCTGCTTGCCTCCAGAGGAGGTGAAAGGGCTGGAAACAATGTACACTCCCTCTGGGCAGGGAGGGATGCATTCTCTTTTCTAAACTGGTCTAGCCTTCAGCATCATGTTCTGCTGAGCAGTACAGAAACTCCTCATATGTAGATTCCCTCTGTTTTTAGCCCTCATTTACAGTAATGCCCACAGGTGATGAGCCAGGAATCAGTCACCATTTCTTTACCGTTACACTCAACTACAAAATCTTGATGAGATCCCTTGACTTTGCAAGGAAAATGTTTCCAAAGGCATGTGGGCATCCTGAGTAGAACACCCAGAGATCTGCTATGGTCAGGACACCTGGTCCCAACTGTGACAGACTTAAAAACAATCTATAAAACAAACGTGGTTCTCCAGGGCAAGCCCTCTGCCCGTGATGCCTAGAGATACAAACCGCCATGCACAGTCAGCACATGCCTCTTTGACTTGACAGACCTGCAGGCTGCTGCTGTGCCCCTTTCCCAGGAGGTGTCAACTTCAGGAGATGAAGGCTTTGCATCTCACAGCAATACTAGTGGGGTGGGTGGATGTGTCAGTCCTGACAGCTGCTTCGTGTCCCTGTTGGAAAAGGTGGGTTGTGGAAGGGTGGGAAGCCAGGAATCCAGCAATTAGAGTGGCAGTCCACGATCTCACTGCTTCACATTTCCTGCTTTGGCCTCCTGATGTTTTGGAGAGGTCTGGGGGTGATTTTAGGAAGGGTGCAGAGGGGACCAGAGGGTGGGAAAGCATAGATTGAACACAAATTGGGGGTTCTTATGTGCAACCTGTGCATGTGGGGGTGCTTCAGAGCAGCCATGCAGGGCAGACAGGAGGTCTTTGCCCCTGCGGCAAGGGATAAATCATCCATCCCAGGGTGCTGCATTTTCATGCAGGAAATGTTCCCACTCTCCTTGTTTTCTGCATAGCCACAAAGCTCCCAGTCTGTGGAGAGGCAGCGCCAAGCTCCCAGCCCCCCTAATAGAAGTGGCTTTGTGGAGGAATGTAACATTGACACGTTGTTAGGAGAGGATTTTCTTTAAGGGCAGCCAAGCCCCAGTGCTGTGGGAGAAGAAAAGCTGAACTTGCTCCAGCTGCCGCGGTGCCAGCGGCCGCGGGCAGGGCAGGGGGATGGGGAGGGGGACAGGGGACACTTTTGGTGTCCTGCAGGTCTCTCCACGCACCCAACAGCTCGGAGCCGGGAAAACGCAGCCATCTGAAATGACAGGGAAGCTCCCCTCCTGTAAACTCCCAGAGAAACCTGCGCAGCGGCAGGGATGCTATTTAACATCGTTTAGAGCTAATTAGTGCCCCGGGAGGCGGAGGCAGCTCCGGCTTCGGCGCCGGGCTCTGCCCGCGGAGGCCACGCCGAGCAGCTCCCGCAGGGGCCGAGGCGCGTCCCCGGGGATGCTGAGGTGTCACCTCGCCGCTGGGGACAGGAGACACAGCGGGGAGCACAGGCTGCCGAGGTCCCTTCGTAGCTCTCCTGAAAATAGGCTGGGTTTCAGGGGATGTGCGTCTCCCGTGTAAAACACCCACTTTCTTTCCCTTAGCAGAGAGGACAAAGAATGCTTAGGGCAAATATTGCAATTTGTTTTATTTTCTGTAAATTTTGAAACATGTTTGCAACGTATTTTCTTTCCAGTCTCAGTCATATTTTAATTCTTGCCCTAATTGCAGCTCTCCCTGGATACTTCCTTGATAAACAGCATTGTTAGAGTGGGTGTAAATTTTATTTCTTTAGGTGAAAGGTATCCTTCATTTGTTTTGCCATAGTAGTTATTTGAGTGTATGTATGTGCGGCTGAGAATTTTAACAATAATAGAATTATTTAAATGTTTTATTTAATTATTCCATGCACTTGGAAATTGTTCATCAGGCTGTTACAGAAAGTTAAAATCAGTTAGCAAATTAAGCCTCACGGTCCTTCTCAGTAGCAGTATGCTCTTTGTCTTCCAGTTCAGTGTTTGAAGCATTTTTTTGTCTTTCCTACAGAAAGTTAACAATCTGCAAGAGAGGTGTGTTGATTCCTTTTCTGTAGACAGATTCATATTTATCAAGCAGGTCGGTCAGTGTATTTGTCTTTATAAAGCTGGCTTGTGGTTCAGTTGGAGGCTTTATTGAGGGATCAAAATGTAGAATATTCCTAGCACAAACATGATGCAATTCATCACTTGTGTCAGCAAACATTTAGGGAAGAAATAGAAAAGTTTCTTTCTTGGGCAACCTGGTTTGAGTTAGATCAGCACAGGTAGTAAAAATAAGGGTGACCAATAACAGAAAGGTTTCTTGTATTCATAGTGCTAAATGAAAGTGCAGTTTTATTAGCATCAGTTGAGTTTTGAAGGGAAATACCACTGTTGCCTATCACTTTGAGAGAGCTCTGGACTTGGTGAGATTGTATTTTAAGAATTTGTGCATTACTTTGAGGTTTGGTACTGACATTGCATAGCAATGGCTTTCGGAAAGGAATTGCAAAGACTTGACAGCTTTCTTACAAGATTGTGCATACTCTTCCATCCTTCAGATTTGCTTTCTACGTGAAAGCTTGACTACATGAAATACAAAATCTTTCCCCAAAACTATTTCCAGCACCCTTCAAGAACTATAATGTAAATAGAGAACATTTAAATTAAAGCCTACTACTTCTTTTTTGAACCTCTGAATATTTTTATAATTTTGAATATGATAAATGGCTTAGGAAAATGGATGAAAGACAGTACTTTTCCATTTCAAAAATTTGCAGCATTTTACAAAAGATGTGACAAGTACATAATAGATGATTGTGTTTCTAAAAGTGCTGAAGTGCTTGAACAATAAAAGGAACTAGGTCAAAAAAAGAAACTGTAACCATTATTATTTAAAAAAAAAAAATGGTTTGGAAATGTGTAGCTTAACCAGCATGTCTTCCATAAGCAGATCGTCACTGATGTCACTGATTAAAGCAATATTGAAAATCACCACATTTTCACTAAGACCCAGTTTCCATTTTTCCATAGTCTTACATCTGAGATGCTTAGCTTGGATCAAAGCACTAGCAAATAGATCTCAGTGAAGTCTCAGGCAGGGGCCTGAATTTAAGAGCTTAAGGGAATTTGTCCTCTTGATCTTCAGTGCTGTGACTGAAGTATCTCAGGAAGTATCTGTCAATAAGACATGGCTCAGGTCCAACTTTTGTGGACCTGTAAGCCTTTGTATGCAGTCAATCCATATATTTTTATGAATGATGTAATAAGAATGCAAAAACGTATTTTCTCATTGTGACCACTACAAAGCAATATATATACATATGTAATGGTTTACTTAGAAAATTTATTTTGGAGTTTTCTGTTATAAAACAATATAAATATTTATTTTGTCTTCTTACATTCATCAGCAGAAGAAAAGGAAAGGGGAGAAATTCACGTTAATTAAGTCTTGGTATTTGGAGTTTCAGATGTAATTTTGTATATAATGTTCATTCAGTATAAATTATTATTATTATTATTATTATTATTATTATTTGAATGTGACATTGTTCTACTTTGTCATAAATTCTATTTGCTTGCTGCACATTGGCACCTCAGCATTTGGCAACTGTTGGGTTTTTGTTTGTTTCTAATTTCAGACCTGAAAGCAACAGGGATCTCTCACCTGATTTACTATTTATGTTCCTTTAATACAATAATTCATGCTATATTGTTGAATAAGAGTAAGATGCAAATAGTATTGTGAAATGTTCATGGCATAAATGAATTTATTTATATGTCATTCCATGAATGCCCAACTCTTGTTGCACACATTTAAGATGAATTTATAATATTCATCACATACCCAGAGATGACTAGATGGCTGAGAAGGCTGGATATCCCTCATCAGAAAATCATATGCTGTAGTAACATGCCATAGCATGGCTTTATCAGAGGATTTAAACTGTTAAATCAATGCAGGATTTATCTAGGAAGATCAAAAATTACAAAATGGAGTCTAACATCCGCATAGAGATATTTAAAATTTAGTGTGTTAACAACTATTTAATATTAAAGTGAAAAAAGAAAACGCTCGGACAATATCCATTACAATAGGAAAATATATATGCATATATATATATAGCTTTGCTTCCAGTTAAAAAAAAAATAATAAAAAGTGTGGTTAGTATATATGTTTATGTTTAAATATATATATGTCTGAGTTGTAATTTCTTTGGTATCACAGTTCATATCATTACTTCTCACTCTAAGATGATGGCATATTACTTATTTTGGGAAGAAATGCCAGCATACTGCAAGAGTTTGCCCTGCCTTCAGTGATATCATAGGTGTACTATATAGGATATGAACACTGGTTTTCCATAAACTCAAATGTTAATCATTGTTGACTTCAAAGAAATAGCATGCTAGAAGCTGCTTTGTAACCTGAACAGTGATCTAGATACACCAAGGCACATTTTAAACTTAAATTAAACCTCTATTTATGTGCATTATTGCACATCAGACATCATGCAGACCTGTTCTCAGATGGGGACAAATGCTGCTAAAGACTTCCATTTTAAGATCACTAAATCTAAGTAGAAGATGATGATAAAGAATGAGAAATATATATATATATATATATATATATATATATATATATATATATATATATGTATTTTAAAAAATAGTGTTGAGACTGAAGACAAAAAATACCTGAATTAGGAACAGAATTCCTGAATGAGGAACAGCTCTTGCTGCTGGTTCCTGTGAAAAAGAACTCAATAGCACCAAGTCCGGTACCACCAAATATTTCAGACAAGTCTAGTCTTCTGTAATTGCTTTTGTCATATGAGTGAGCCATGCTTTTTTTCCTCAAATACTTTTATTACAATTAGTCTGGC